TCTTCAATACCTTTAGAAAAAAAATTCAATAGAAATTAACTTTGCCGGTAATTTAAAAAGTATTTGAAAGATATAAAATATATACGTGATAAGCTTTTCTTTTCTTTTTTCTTTTTGTTTTGTTCAGTTTGTTTTTTTCTGTCCGTCAACTTAATACACTATCGATATAGGCATACTGTGAGGAAGTTCATTACTTGCGTGTGGGTATCATAGGCACCACTTGATTGTCGGTAGGGCGTTTGAATTATCCATGCGCTCAGTTTTTGACGTATGTCCTCTCTTCATTATCGTTCATGCACGGGAAAAGTGTCACATACAATGCACGTTTTTGCCTTTTAAAATTGTTTCAATATTGTGACTTTAACAGTGAACCTTTTATCCTTTGTAATTATTTTCGATTTATTTTTCCCTTTGTCTTTTCCTCTTTATTCGTTTCTGCTAGCTCCTTTTTTGATGCGAGACCACATATTCGGCGAATTTCAAAATACAGTGTGTAATGTACAGTGTGTACAATCGTCCATTTACACCTGTAAAGATCATGAATGAAAGGCAACCTGAACAAATTTTTGTTTTCTTAGGATGCAAAGTCACTGGTTGATTATCTAAAAACATTTTGTCACTTTGCCTAGGATCTTTATTAGAAATCATACTTCACCCTTTTCTTACTTAATAAATTATCATGACATCCGAAATATGAAAGTGATATTTTTCCTTTAGTATATACCTCCGAAACGTCATCACTGATCTTGTGCTGAGATCCATTTGTTTATTTCTTCTCTTTGGCGCTTTTTTCCACGTATTAAATGACCGAAGTTGGGGGCATGACAACCCTTGGCTGATTCTATAACATTTTCAAATTCAGCCAAATTCTACCAGAACCACGTGTTTCTTGATTTTTTTTTTCTTGCTTTAGGGGCTTTGTCATCTTGTTCTCAAACTCATCGACAAAATTCACTTACAAAACCAAGCTAGTGTAATTATTACTGTAGCACTTTCTTAACCTAATTTATCAAGTCTTCAGCTTCTCAAGTGCTCGAAGAGGAATCTTTACATACCCCTGAGTATATTCATCAATTAAATGAGGACAGTTACGAATGTTATTTATATTTTGCTTGTTTCTTAGTCAAAGCAAATTGGCAACGTTTGTTTCTCCTTAATATCAAAACGAACCAACAGAAAACGTGGCGTATTAACTGAACCAGAATGATCGTAGCCCGGAGCGATCCGGCTGCTTTTAATTTCTTTCTAACGTATTCAAAATCCGTGAAAATTTGATATTGTTGTTTCCGTTTGTAGCGAGAACCTAATGGAAAGAAAATACAGTCGGCCAGAGAGATTGGATTCATTTAACAATGATCGAGCAGATATTATCAGAATTATTCCCCCCTTTTCTATTTTATATCAAAAATGATTTTATGCGTTATTACAATTCTTATTTAATGCCTGATTATTTCGCCAAATACTATGCCATTCCTGAACTAGTGAGATTGATACACCCTGCGTAAAAGAAAAATTTGCAGGTGACAGTTTATCATCAGGCATAGATTTGAACTTTGTTAAATCTGGCAGCATCTTTACCGTTACCTTTGCAGACAAAGCAAACCTCAGTTGAACAATGTGCGCCAGTTTTTCTTAGACTGGTTCAATTTTCATCGAGATTGGCGAACTGAATGGATGTTCATATAAACTTTACGACTGGTACATATAAATAACAAGGCTTACCTTCACCAAATGAAAATAAATACCGAATGATTAGATATTCAATTTCCTCTGATAGCCGACTAGATGCTAATGTAAATGCGTAAAGTATAACACTTCCACAGAAATATCCCCCGGCGGACTGCACCTAATGGGCTATTCTGGGAATTTGCGTCAAAAGGCCGGGTGTTTAAATTAATTGTTGTTTCAAAGTTCAGAGCCAATTCCAATTTCCTAAGTGCGAGCGACCTAAAATGGAGATCAGAATTTTTTTTTAATAAAATTTCAGAGTGGGCCTTCCCTCTCAGAAGTGTAAGCACTACAGATAATTTACCAAAAAAGTTTATGTTTTTCGCAACGGGTAACGTGGCTTTTGTTTTTTCAGTTTGTCGTTCAATAAACACAGAATCGAAAAGTAAAGTCCAATGCTCTTACTTTATAACTGTAGCACTGTGAATGAGGCTTTCGCTGCCCATTGAGCGTTAAGGAAAAAAAGCCTTTCTTTAGAAAAAACATCTAGTCTTACTGCCTCAAGGTCAAGAGATTATAATCCCTTGCATATGGTGGTGGTTTGTCGTCCAATAAACACACTTTGTTCAAATGAAATATCCATCGCTACTATCTATTGATGTATTTTTTCTATTCAAATTTCAAGGACTTTATGGCGAGAGAATATCAATAGTTGATATTCTCTTGTTTTTAAGTATATTCTCTCCCCAGTTCTGGCAGAATCATTAACCAATGTAAGATATTTGCTTGTTTTGAAATGAGTAAGATAGCTTTTATTTTTTAGTTTGTCATCCAAAAAACACAGTGTGGAAGTAAACTGTCTAACACGACCATTTCAATACTGTAGCATTATGAATGAAACTCACAATGCCCAACGAGAGTTACAGAAGGAAAAGAAACTTTATAAATAGTATTTAATTGAATGGGTATGTATGATGCACGATCCTCGCAGTAGAGATTATAATGGTTGGTCCTAGCTGGGTACAAGAATCGACTGAGTACCGCTGGGTACAAAATCGACTGAGTACCATTATGTATGGAACGACTAGTTAGCTAAATAAATATGAGAATAAAAACGGCTATGGAAAGACAACACTGACCCTCGGTATTTAAGTTGCAAAAGTGGATAGAATGCGACATGTGTTTTCATTTCATTTTCCTTTCTGTTTAATCTCCTTAAAAGTGGACTCCAAAATAAGAGTTTTATTTTGGAGACAAAAACATTTGGCAGAATGCCTGTTGTTTTCGCGACATTTATTGCATTGGCGAAAGTATTATAGATCTGTGACATTAGCGGCGAAGCGTAAGCAGGGAGACTCTCTTGGCTGAAGATCACGCGCGCTTTCCTCCGAAGGGATGATACTGTCTTAGCTCATTAACTTGTCAAGGCGGAGCTTCGAAACAAGGCTTTCGTAACTTATTTTTAATCTATTGTTTCTGATATCACGCTTAACGCACGCATATTTCATACTTCAAGTGTTGGATTTGTAATGCATTCGACTTTTGCCAAAAGCCATGTTCATCTCTCGCTACAACTAAATCAACAAATTTTTTGCTTTATATCAAGCCCACAAAGGTTGTTAAACAGCGGGTGTTTTCTATTATTTCCCGCATTGGATTCGATTGTCTCATCGAAAATTACTTTTATATCAACTAAAGGACAAAATAAAGTCTCTGGATCGCTCTAACGATCGGTACACTATTCTTAATGCTTTTAAAGTGTCTAAAAACACTTGGCGCTGGATGATCAAGGATTCTTTGAGCTCTCAAAAGAGCTCCCGATAATGATCAGTTTGTGGGACAATCGGGGACTGAGTGTTTGAGAGCTGATAAAGGCAGTGTCACATGATGAAGTGTGCATCGTTATTTGTACTCCTATCGGACAACCGCAAATTGGCTAATCTGATTGTGACATTACTGCTGATTGCGGCAAAAAAATGATGATGATAATGATACCGGTAATAATGAGAAAAATTGCATTCTTAAAGACGATATGAATAATGATGATAAATTTTCGTGTAGTGCTATTGTTTTCTACCAGGACGGCTGATTTGCAAAAATTAGCATATTATTCCTTTTTGTCGATCACAAGTTAAACTTATGACATCACTTTTTTATACAAGCCAATCAAATTGTGACAAATAAAATAATTAGCTTACCAGCGTCCTTGGACTGTTTTAACCAGTAGCTGCCAAAATGTGGTTCTTATGTAAACATCTTGAAATCTTAGCATTTCTTTGTTCTGTCTTGTTTTGCTATTCGCCATCGTTTTTCCTTTTTTCGTTTTTTGTTTCGTTTTTCTCCTCAATTTTTTGTTTCTTTTAGCTTTTTTGTGAGTGGATCAATTCGTTTTTGTTATCTCATTAAACATTTTCAGAAATTATCAACAGTTGAGAAGCGTTTGACTATTTTCAGCGGCCAAAAGCGAATAAAACTGAAAGCCTACAATGTCAGGTGCGCGGAATATGAAACGTATTATTGGCGCATTTCAGTCAGTGAACTGCCTTAAACCGAAACCTATGAAATCAAAAGTACTAATCTGGTGAGTTAAGTAAAATCTTAATGCATCATAGAATTCAATCGGCAGGTGCTTAGAGGGAAAACCTCCAACATGGTCTTTTTAATAGATACGTTTACCAGCGCACTTTGAGTGTCAGTCTCATGGCAAAAGAAAGTACCACCACAAAAGTGCAAGACATTTCCTACAGTATATCTCCAGATATTTTAACTTTTTTTTTTTTTTACCTGCGCTACATTTATCCTCTTTTGCGAGGAAATGCTTCAGTGTAACAAGTGAGCGTGCCAAAATAATTTAACTTTAGCGATCACTTAAGTCTTACCGGCTTAAATAGTAGCGCTAATTTATAAAATTTATCTATTACAAGTAAGACATAGAGAAGCAAAGCACTTAGTAAAGTTATGCCAAAAGTGCTTATTTAGCGAGGATTGTACTAAAATCGAAGCCATTCCTGGACCAGAATTAGAAGATGATGATCTTCTGCGAAGATTAGTTATACACAGCATATCATCAACAATTTAACAACTGAATTATACAAGGATGAAGCATATTTCAGTGAACGAAACAAGAACAAAAAATGATACCTCTCTCGATTTCTCCTTTTGCCAATAAATAGATTCTTACCAAGAAAATTGATGAGTCGCTAAACATAGAGACATAGAGCTTCGTTCTGTGGTGACAAGACAAAAAAGAACAAGAAGATGATTCGCTATTGTGAATAAAAATATGTATTTCAGAATCCAATATCTATTTTCCTAAATTTTTATTATTTTAGATTGAAGCAAGCCAATATAAGAGGACAGGAACATTGTGGGCCTGCAACCATCTGGTATAGCATTAGGTGAGTCTAACCTAAAAGCATTTGGATATATCAGATAAACTTAACAGTTTATTCTTGACAGTTTTATGTTAATAGTAAATTACAGGGTCAAAAGAAGGTATGTGAGTTAAATAGTCATCCCAATTTTCATCCATATTTTGTGATCCATGATCCCAAAATTTCGGATAATTTTGATCCTTGATCCCAAAAAACCGCAATGATCCCGTCTGAGAAAAATTAATCACAGACATAGTGATCCCTGTTGCTGGCTAAGTCGAGAAGCTTAAGCCTTTCGTTAGTCATGCCCATTTACATGAAAATGATCTTTTATAACACTTTTTTTTGCTTTGTCTTTACGTCTGCCTCGGTCATCATGTGGCTCTGGAGACCATGAACGTGATCTTCAACTTAAAATAGTACCCAAAGAAATAGTCTTAAATGAAGACTCACAAGAACGTAAATAACAAATTACAAGGTCTGTTGTGCTTTTGCTTCGCGAATTAAAAAGTTTTATCATTAACACTAATCGCTTTTCGGAGGCCATTGTTTGATTGTTTAAATAACATATTCCTAGCTTAGTAAGTTAACCCTTAGCTACCGCAACTTGCGTGTGTTGTTTGCGTGTCTGTTTGTGTGTGAGCCTGAACAAATTGATTCAAAATTTATAATATTGTAATCCTCCTCGTTAAGCCAAGGTGCTTTTGGGGAAAACCGTGAAAAATACGTTTAAATAAAAAAACCAGATTGATTCAATGGAGACGCTAGACGTGGACCTTTAAATAACACGAAATAACATGATATAATGAAAGAAGCGAACTCGTTACACTTCACAATTTGGATATATCAACAAAGTTGATTGGCCACCGTAACGATTACAAAAGCTGACGTTTCGAGCGTTAGCCCTTCGTCGGAGCGAATAGAGGAATTGTGGGTTGTGTGCGCTTTTAAAGGCAGAAAATGGAGCTACGTTATTGGTGGGAACATGGCAACGAGAAAAACAAGAATAAATTAGTGGAATGAAAAGCGTTCGTTGATCCCTGTGGGATTTAGACTGCCGGTTTGAAAGATGAGCTTTTGTTCAAGATTTTTACGGCTTTCCGCGCTACCTAAGTGTAAGGAAAGACCGCAGATTGCCATATCTTGCTTAGAATGATTAGATAGATCGTTACACTTCACGTTACCATCACGCAATCGCAACAGCCTCTGAAGAAAATTCCTCGTTATACGCATTAAGAGTAGTTTTCAAAACAGTTGTTTGTTATCGGTAAGGAAAAATGCCTGATTAGGCAGTAACCATAGTATCTGTGTTATGATTCCATCTAGGAAAGTTTATTCTGTTATTTTCCGTGCTCGGTAAACGAGGTGAACACAGTTTTAGAACATAAGTGTCAATTGCTCAGCCATATGAAGCATATGAAATAAGTAACTGTATGTTCAGAATTTATCGGTTAGATCGCAAACATCCTTTGTCCCTCTGCTAATCTATTTGTTGCTCATACAAGTTCACTGCTTGTTCTTCCACTGTGGTCTGAAGTTTCAGGATCTGTTTTCGTGGTTGATTTTGCGTCTCCTTCATTTGTGTGTCCAGGTTGTACATATTTTTTTTCTTTCTTCTTCAAGTCTCGGTTTTCTTTGTGGTCCTCCTTTGCCGTTTCGTTCTCCTTTAATTTGCTCCAAGAATCTCTCAGTCTTATAGTTAGCCTCTTGGCGACACAATCGAGGGTAGATTCTACGAGTTGATAAACGATTTCTCACACGTTAGCTTGAAGAACTGTAATCGACTTCTTATAACTCCCTTCCATCTTCTTCCACTCCCATAACAGATCCCGTTTATTTCCAAGGAAAAGATACGATCGTCACTATCAACAAATGGTACAACCATATAAAGGAGTAAACGCTGGACCGAGGGTTCGTTGAGCTCCGAAAAGGGCTCCTGGAATTAACGATTAACATTTTCCTCGGCCATTTCTGTATTTGAGTTCATGCTTCTTTCTTTTCACGTACAAGCTACAAGTTCTCTCTTAAATTCGCACGTGATCGATTACGTGCTAGATTATCGACTGTAAGCTACAGCTACCGGTAACTGCATTTCATGAATGCAGTTTTTCTGCTTATTGTTCATTTATGGGAAAAACTGTTATATAATAGGACGAAGAATAGACTCGGAACATGCCTGAACTTTAAAACTACGATTTTCAATCCTTCAAGTTTACAACTTGTTGTCCTTTCATTCAGACTAAAAACCATGGCCACCCCGATACAAAGGAAAGACGCGTATCTCAGTTTCATAAGCTGCTTCAGTAATGAGTGACTGCTGCTTATTTTTTGTGGAAAGGTAAGACCGAATCTAAATGAAGGCCTCTTCTCATACTAAAGTCTTTTTTTTATGTAATAGTTCTTGTTCAATTTTTAATATAGCTAGTTTAACCCTTTGGCAAGGAAAATCTGTTTCACTATTTTAGCAAAGCCTACTCCAAGTACTGAGAAATGACTATTTTCATCAGCCAGCGTTTTTCTCTAATTGTGGCGGTTTCATTAAGCTTTAACTTCATCCTTGAACTGCCCGCCATAACGTCTCATGAACGAGTGCTACCAATGCGCCACCAATCACGCGAGTCATGGTGCGAGGCGAGCGAGGCGAGCGAGGCGAGCAAGGCATGCGAAACATAGAGGCAAACTATAGAAGCAACTTATCTTCAAATTAAAGGCAGTCTATGACTGCATGTGCCAACTATTGTATAGTTATAGATTATTGCAGTAAAAAAGCAATATGGTGTGAAATGCAGAGGGTTCATGATAAAACAGCTCTTGTCAAAGACTTGGAACAGAGTTTATACGATGGTCAATCTACAGGCCGGAGACAGGGCAGGAAATTAAAAGAGTAGGTACATCATGATGTAATAAATGTCCGTAAAATAAACTGAGAAGTTTACAATGTCATGATTAGTACACTCTACGTATCTAGCGCAAAGTATATGCCTAATCCTCTCGGGTTCGAGCGTAGAAGGTTCGAGCCCTGACCACGTCAACCTATTCCTTCTTTTTTTCTTTTTTTTCCTATCAATACACCGAATCGAAATATGGCGTCCAATTTGAATTACCATTGTTTTGGACTTACTAGCCTCGTCTTGACATGGAAACACAAAAAGATTAACACATGTGTGAGAGGCTAGTCAGTCGAGAACAATGGCAATTCAAATTGGACGCCATATTTCGATTCGTTTTACACATATGAAACTCCTTGTTAACAAAAGGTTCTATCATATTTCCGATGGTCACGCCCAATAATAGCTCTCTCACAAAAAATTAAAATTTGGTGGTTTGTGCTCACTGTGATTTTCATGAAAAATTTCACAATTGGTCACTTTTTCTCATATTCAACCGCCAAATATTCGTTTAAAAGCCGTTTTAGAGGCTGCGACGTGCGTTTCGTTTTTCCGCCATTTTAAATCACAGGAGCTCGCCTATGCGCTTAGGGTAATTTTACGAAATCCTTCAAGTAAGATTACTCAAAATCAAATGTTCCACTCACAGGGGAAAGAGTTTGATATGCGTAACTTTCACGCTCAAATCGACAACATGTCGAAAACCAGAGGTGAGACCTTAACAAAGCATCCAAATAAACCCGACAATACTAAAACTGAATGCGAAGAAATCCGATCAGATTCTTTCAACGATGGCCAGAGTCGGAGCTGAACCAGATCACAAGGGTCGTTACAAGTGTGTTACAATAATCTGCCAGTTTGTAACCGCATCGGGTTTGAGGGAGGGTTCAAGGACTTAAACGACACCAAGAGAATATATATGGACTAAGAGAACCTATATCCCATACATACCCCTCTTCAAATGATAATTTTTCTAAATCTGATTGTAATGCACGTTCCTGCGGCGCGACTAATTGGAGAAAAGCAGCTGATTGGTAAGTGGTTCTTTCACGGTGAAATGTGATGTGTGATGTTTGGCAGCCTGCAGTTTGTGGTGTTCACTATATGATGACGTAAAGACATTTTTTGATCACGAGAATAAAACACAAGCTGAGAAAGCGTAACCTCTGAGCGGTTCTCTTGAAACGTGAGTTTTTCTTGCTCTGTAGTCCACAAGCTAGGGTGCGTGGAAGATGTTTCATGAGAGGGCTAGATTGGAAGAATCGAATATCTTTCAACGGCTAATTCAGGTAAATTATCTCCCGGGTTATCGATTAAGCGGCAATGGCGCAACAAAACTGACATAGCACATTTTCCAGAATACAGAAAGCGAACTGGTTCGATCTTGACGATTTCTTAATTTTGAAATCAATGCCGTTAATTGCCGATCTCTTTGCTTACGTAGCTATGCGACTTTTTACCTCGACCCTCGACCAGGTGACAGACCCGTCTATAGATGTGGTAGACAATCAAACGGCGGAAGACTGTTAAAAAGTTTACAAGAGCCCCTATGCTTTCACAGGAAATGATGGTACAAACTAACCGATAGATGAGGAGCTCGTCTTAGCAACACTAAGGCGTAATTTCTTATCGATTTACGCAACTGTGCCCGATCAATTTATAAAGGAAAGCTTAGCGTTTATATGGTGTATCGAAGTTGGCAATATTTTGAGAGAAATCAATTTTGAATTAATCTAAAACGTCCATCAAGGATGTGGCAATGGCGGGTTTCGATGCTTTATAACTCAAAATACAAACAGAAAGACGGACCGGTTCGATTTCGCTGCCAAAACATTTCTAAAGTTGATTTTTTGCCAAGTGACATTATTGACTGGCTTCTAGGTATTCGGTTAGCTTATTTACTTCTAGGAATCGATGGAGAGTTGGAAAGATGTGAGTGAGTGAGGACTTTATTTTAGCACGATAAGTAAAATCAGCATTGCTGGTGGGGTCGTGCAAACAATAATTACGAAAAAATAAAATACTTAAACATATGTACAATTTAGAATTAAGACTTAAAAGCTAAGACCTATTGGAAATATTAGTAGTCGGTATCTCTGTTTTTAGTTATGGCTAAAATCGGTTCAAAATTTTTTT